CTATCAGCATGCTTACAACACTGTGTTGGTATTATCTTTTTAGCTGGGGCTGTGAACCTGACTAAATACTAAAGGCCTGAAAAACAATAAAAAGGCTGTTTAAAAAAAATAGCACTATTAAGATCTAACTTATATAAAGTCACCAATTTTGCCAAATGTATGCATTCTAGTAACCACAATGGTAGTGGTTCATGATGTATAGAACATTTCCATGACTCTAAAAATTCCCTGGTGCCCTTTTACAGTCAATCCCCTCTTCCCATTCTGGCTGCTGGCAATCATTATTCTGCTTTCTGTCACTGTAGTTACAACTTTTCTAGAATTTCTTATAAATGGAATGATGCAGTGTATACTCTTTTGTGTTTGATTTCTTTCACTTAGCAGCATGCTTTTAAGATTCATCCATGTTGTTGCATGTATCAGTAATTTGTTCCTTGTTTTTATTTACTAACTGAACTCCATACTTTATTTGAAATTTATTAGTTCTTCCCTAATGTCTTTTTCCAGGATCCAATCCAGAATATCACATTACATTTTGCTGTTATGTCTCTTTAGACTCCTTTGGGCTATAACATTTCCTCAAATTTTTCTTGCTTTTGATGACTGTGACATTTTTGAGGAGTACTGGTCAGGTATTTTAGCCAATGTCTCAATTTGGTTTGTCTGATGGTTTTCTTATGGTTAGACTAGGGTTAAGGGTTTTCCAGAGTATAACCACAGAGTTGAAGTGGTTCTCAATCTATCATATCAAAGGGACATTTCTGTCAACATGACTTATCATTGATGATGTTAATTTTGATCACCTGGCTAAGGAAATATTTTTCAATTTTCTGCTCTGAAAAGTCTCTTTTTCCTCCTTTCCATACTGTACTCTAGAAGCAAGTCACTAAGTGTAGCCCACACTTAAGCCTGGGGAGTTGTGCTCCACCTCGTTAAGGGGAGAGTATCTATACAAATGACCCAGAATTCTCCTTTACAGGAGATTTGTCTCTTATCCGCTATTTATTTATATAATTATTTATTATATCAGTATGGACTCATGTATTTATTTTATACTTTGGGTTATCATCCAATACTATGCTATGTACTTGCTCAAATTGCTCTGGCTTTGGCAATTGAGGAGCCCTTTTACTTGATAATACATTCAATCTTTCACCATTAATTATGATGTTAGCTGTAGATGTTTCGTAGATGTGCTTTATCATTTTGTGAAAGTTTGCTTCTATTTCTAATTTGCTGAGATTTTCAAAATTTGGAGTAGATGTTGGATTTTGGCAAATACTTTTTGTGTATCAGTTGAGACGATCCTATGGTTTTTCTCTTTAGTTAGCAAATACTGGGAATTACATTCTTTTTTTTTTTTTGATGTTAAATTGGCCTGACATTCCTGGAAAAACTCCACTTAGTCATGATTCTTAATCTCTTTTATATGGCTTAATTTCTTGAATATTTTATACCTTTTGCATCTACATTCATGAGTGATATTGATCTGTCATTTTCTTACAGTGTCTTTGTCTAATGTTGGTATCAGAGCCTCATAGAATAAGTTGGAAACTATTCTGTCCTCTTCATTTTTTTTGAAAGATTTTTGTGTAGAATAGGTATTAAGTCTTCCTTATATGTTTAGTAGAATTCATCATTGAAGCAACCTGGTTTGGAATTTTTAATGTAGGAAGGTTTTTTAATTACAAATTAAATTTCTTTAACATATAAAGCTATTCAGGTTATCTATTTCATCTTCAATGAGCTTTATATGTATTTTCAATGACTTTGTCCATTTCATCTAACTTTTTGAGTTACTTTCCATAATGTCTTTCACAATATTTTACTATCCTTTTAATACTTACACAATCTCTATTGATGCCATGCCTCATTTCTGATATTGGTAAACATTCTCCTTTTTTTCTTGTTCAGTCTGGCCAAGTGTTTATCAATTTTATTGACCTTTTCAAAGAACTAGCTTTTGTTTTAGTTGATTTTTCTCTTTGCTATTTTATTGATTATTTTTCCCTCTGATATTCTTTTCTTTAATCTTCCTAATTTGAGTTTAATTGGCTTTTTTTCTAGTCTTTAGTTGGAAGCTTGTCATTGATTTCACACCTTCTTCTTTTCTAATGTAGGTGTTCACTGCTATAAAGTCTCCTTTAAGTGCAGCTTTAGCAGCCAGTCACAGATTTTGGTATATTGTTTTTTTCTTTTCATTCAGAGAAAAATACTCTAATTTCCCTTTTGATTTCTTATCTTAACTATGGTTTATTTAGATGTGTTATATACTATACAGCTTACATACTGTAACATTTTCCCACTTTCAGCTTAAAATCCAGAGATTTCTTTGGTAAATTTACATAGGTATGCAATCATCATCACAATCTAGTTTGACAACATTTCTATCACCTAAAAAGATTCTTGATGTTCTTTTGCAGTAAATCCTGATTATCACTCCCAGCTCATAGCAATCACTAATTTACATCTCTATAGAGTTTACGTCTCTACTTACATCTCTATAGAGCTGCCTTTTCTAGATATTTCATATCAATAGAAACATAATGGGTTATTTAGAGGTATGTTAATTTCTAATATTTATGAATTCCCTGAATTTCCTTATGTTGTTGATTTGTAATCATATGCTTTGTATGATTTTAATCCTGCATGATTCAACTGATTTAATCCTGTATGATTTTACTCCTTTGTATGATTTTACTATTTACTGTTTCTCCTTTACCACTTTATTCTGCTTTAAACAGATCTTTGTTAGAGTATCACTTTTTTTTTGGAGTCAGTTTCTCAATGGTTCCTTGGGGATTATAATATACATCTTAATTTAAAATCTGCTTCAGATTAATGCTAACTTAATTCTAATAAAATATTTTAACTTGGCTCCAATGTAGCTCCCTCCCCTCTCTTAACCTTTGTGCTATTATTGTCAAATATGTTATATCCTTAAATATTATGTGATAGAAGTTATAAAATAGTTTTATAGTTGTCTTAGTACTTTTCTTTTATGTTATTCGAGACAAAAGAGAAAAATATATTCATACTCTCTCTTATATTTATCTAAATAATCACCTTTACTGATACTCTTTATTTCTTCATGTGGATTTAACTTGCAGTGTGATGTCATTTCCTTTTTGCCTGAAGGATTTTCTTTAGTATTTCTTGTAAGGCAGATTTGCTAGGAATGAATTCTCTCAGTCTATGATTACTTGGAAATATCTTTATTTCTCCTTCATTTTTGAAGAATAGTTTGAATAAAGAATTCTTGATTGCCTTATTTTTTATATTATCTAGGCCTTAGTGTTGCTAGGAGAATCTGGCCTGGTTCTCACAAGTAGTCTACCGTATTGTTCTATTGAACATAACAATTTCAAAGAACACCAGCCTCGGAAAGTCACTGTGTCACCATAATGGATCAACACAAACAAAACCACTGTGTAGGCGTGTCTGAACACATATAAAAAAGAGAATATTGCCCAAACCACAATAATGCTCAGATATACCCCTCCGATGATTAATATAGTTAAAATGAGTGACTGCTGCTGCTTTACCAATTATAGGTTAGCCTTGTTTCATTTTTAAGATATAATTATAAAATTTCCCCTACTTCACGACATGATTTAATCCTTAGCCAAGCCCTACTTCCTTGAGTCTTTTTCCAAATCACCTGACACAAACCCAAATCCCATTACTGAGACATTGCATGGTTCCTCATGGTGTGTGGTCTTCCCCATTGCAATGAGTTATAAATCCAACTTTGTTCAACTATACATGTGTGTTCCTGGCCTTTTTGGTTGAAGGGCATTGAGGCTTGAATTAAAGGATGAAAGTTAGGATGGGCAAAGACATTCCAGTTAAATGCAACTAAAACTAAATTGGGGATCATAATATTAATATCAGAAAAGTTTAAATACAAGGCAAAGCATTAAATTAGGTTAATACAGGTAAATAGCACAGGATGAAATCTATAATAAAGATCTAACTTGAAAGTCTATAAGTACTCAAAAATGGCATAAAAATGAAAAAAGTCTCCTGAAATACTCTTGCACTAGATTAGTGGTCAGCAAGCTTTTTCTGTAAAGGGCCAAATAGCAAAAATTCTCTACTTTGCAGACCAGATCTCTGTTGCAATTACTCAACTTTGCTGTGTGAAAGCAGCCATAGACAATACACAAACAAAGGGACATGACTGTGTTTCAAGAAAACTTTATTTATAGACACTGAATTCAGAATTCTTATATAATTTTTATGTGGGCACAAAATATTTTGATTTTTTTCAATAATTGCAAGATGTAAAACCCATTCTTAGCTCAAGAATGTACAAAAATAGGCAATGGATCAGAGGTGGCCTGTGCACCTTGCTTGCTGCCCTTCCTCTATATAATTGTATGGCTCACTGCCTCATATCGTTAATGTCACTTGCTCAGTGAGGATCCTGATGACTTTTTAATAACAGCATCCTCCCCCATCCCCTTCTCTACTTTGTATTCCCCTATTGGACTTACAATAATTAAATGAACTGTTTTATTCATTTGTTGATTGTTTGGCTAGAATGTACACTCTTTGAAAGCTAGGATTTCTGGTTTTATTTACTACTTCATACCAGTGCCTACAGAAGTGTCTGATGTGTTGTATGCACTTAGTGAATATCTATTCAATGAATAAATCAGAACCTATGAGAAGAATCACACAGTAGCAGATGACAATAGTCCCCTGGGTAAAGGGCTAGTCATATTTCAGTGTCTCCAGTTTGAGAACACACATGGGAGGTACCTTTACCTCACAGACATGAGAACACTCAGGAAACATCTTGGGGAAGCCAAGGGCAAGGGCATAAGAGCTAAAAGATTGACCTTTTACTCAATAGTATGAGATATCAGAAGAGAATGTTCGAATTAGGGAATTTAGCCTAAAAATCCACCTTGGATTCAATTTGTTTTTCCCTAGTACCTAGCTGGTGAAAGTTTATAGGGAGTATTATATCAGCTATAGATAGAAACTGTAACTTTATTGCCTCTGAGTTGTTGTACTGGTAATTTCTTGGTCCTGCTTCTAATAAAACAGCAACAACAACAACAAAACAAAACTAAAAGAAGGGTAGAAAGAGTACGTTAGTAGTGCTTGCCTTACAGGAGGAGAACTTGTTGAACTGGTAGGAGAATTTACTTTTCATTTGGATTGTTTGAATAGCATTTAAGGGGAGGCTCTAGAATTTCTACATGTGAGTCTTAGAATGCTAATCTGATTTGAAGATTGGGAAGCAGAAGGCTGCTTTAGCATCTGTGTTTGCCTGGCAAACACACTTTTATTGCTTAAAGGGTTGGCTTGGGAGGTGTGATGGACATCACGGGAGCCTAAAGCTACTTTAAACCATACTTTGGGGTTTGATATAACCATTTACATATTTTCTTTCATTTTCAAAAGATAAAAAAAAACTTTTTAGAGTGTAGATAAAAAGAGAAAGTAGATCAAAGTATACAAATCAGAATGTCAGATATACAGGAAAAATGTTTTTCAATTATCTTCGTCCTTATTGGTAAAATAAGCAGGAGTATAGTGTGTTAGTTTCTAAAGTGTTTTTCCCATTTGCTTATAAGCCTGATAAATAGGCAAAGTTGTTATGAAGTTTTCCTGCAGATCTACTGTTAGGCAGTGTGAGATATTCCAAGTATACACACTCCTGGTTTATGGAATGGCCTATGCCTATGAATGGGAGGACAGATTTCTCAGTTTCCCACTTTGTCTTTCAGAGGATCTACCGCTTGTTTCCAGATTCAGAAAAGATGGAATTGGGTTGGCAAATCAAATGCATCCAGAGAGAAGTCTGTTCATATAAATACAAGGAACACTGGCTGCTGTAGGATGAGGAGAAACAGTGGAGAGGGTGGCAACCTGAGGAGGGGCACCACCGTGGAAAAGCACAACAGCCATTTGGTAATGGTTAAATGGCCATCCAACTACTAAAGAGCATTCAAAACATGGGCCTGGTTTTGCCAATCTTCCAATTTATTAAGAGAAGACAGACATCCAGATTTGTATGAGATCTATCAGATTGTTAAATGTCAATCAGTAATTCAGGATATTTTTACATGCTACGTAGGTCTACTAAAATACCGTGTTGCACTTAATCTTGCTTCCAGCTTGATGAGACCTCTGAACAAGATGATTAAGTTATTTTCTTTCACGTGATTGTAAAGCTACAGTGAAGTACGAAGTTTATAGCCTCTGGGAGTATCTTTCCTGTTCTGCTCCTAGACTGTCATTGCTAAGGAAGAGCAGGAAAAAAGTGGGGTGGGATGTGGGCTTGAGCACATTTGTGTTTCTGGAGTCTTGAGTTGAGATTCTGAATATCTAGATAAGTAGATACAAGCATAGGCATAGATATAGATATATTCACTTCTTGTTCTTGTGATCATCTTCCTTGGCAATGGCAGTCCAATAGCAGGATGGGAAAAATAATTTCAGATACTATCAACTTTATATCACAGTATACCTCTGAAGCTATGTGAAAGAAAACATTGATATTCAAAAAAAAGTTAAAAGTGGTAGATAACTGTAACTAAAATAGTGCCATTGAAACCATGCTTCCAGAACAATATAGGCTAAATACACTATTAAAAACTTGCAAGGAGAATGAATCTCTTTCACAGCATGGTTTCTATGAGAATAAATGCCAAGTACTAAACTATTTATATTCCAAGGAATACTTAAAATATAGCCCTTTCATAAACTAGAGGCTGCCTGTGGTCTCTTCTCCGAGAGAACAAGATTTGGCTACAAGAAACATTTTCGCCATTTTTGGAGCTTAGTGTAGCTATTAAGCCAAGTTACTTAAGAAGGAAAGAAAGAAAACATGAGCTGTGGGTGGCATATAGAATGCTACCTGGACACCTTGCAAACACAGGACTGTACTGAATTTGAAAAGACTCTGACATTTATATTTCCTTTTCTCCTAACCTTCTGATAAGAAACTTCCCTGTTCCTTTTAGGGACTATTTGATCAGGCTCAGCAAGAATAACCCCACATATACCTAACAGGGACCCTTAGGCAGCTGACTAAATTTCACAGGCAATTCACCTACCCCTCCCTTCTTCTGATGCATACTTTTCCTCCCTAACTGCCACTTTCTGGAGGCTGAGAAAAGTTTTTAGTTTTTAGTATGTGTCAACAGTCCCTAGAAATGTGTCAATCGTGAATAACACATTTCCCTAATTCTAACTTGTATATAGTAGCTCTGTTTAATATATATGTGGATGTGAAGATAAATTTACATTTACTTTATGGGTGTTTCTCATTTATCGGTAAGTCAAGACCATATCTTAAATTTTTAACATTTTAAAAGCTTTTTTGTTTGTTTGTTTGCTGAGGAAGATCAGCCCTGAGCTAACATCTGCCAATCCTCCTCTTTTTGCTGAGGAAGACTGGCCCTGAGCTAACATCCGTGCCCATCTTCCTCCACTTTACATGGGACACCGCCCCAGCATGGCCTGACAAGCGGTGTATCAGTGCACACCTGGGATCCGAACCCGGGCTGCCAGCAGCGGAGCTCATGCACTTAACCGCTACGCCATGGGGCCGGCTCTTAAAAGCTTTTTAATATGTTTCTCCCTAATAGTCAAGTGCTAAGTAAGCAATCATCTTTTAGCAAAAAATAATTAAATGCTTATATCATGCTATTTTCTGCGTAAAAATAATAAAAATGTGTACTATTCTTGCTTTATTGCAACCTGTGGGTTCAGACAGCACACTAAAGGGCTAATCATTTCAGAAGCCAGAGGTGTCCACTCATCTCCAGGCTTGAACTGTCTTATGGTTTCTGACCTACTTTGAAATGCTGTTCTAGTTTATTGTAGATTTTCGGACTCTGCCCTTCCACAGTCCTGGCATAAAGTGGAGGTAGATCTTCTTAATATCAGTCAGCTTAATCATATTCCCCTGTGCATGCTATCTCTTTCAGCAAGCAAATAAAGTCCAGTTTCAGACTTTCAAGCATTACCTAGTCCCCATGTTTATATAAGAGATCATACTCTCAAAAGAAAGATAACTTTTTAAATGAATTCAGTTTCTTTTCCCTTTATATCTAATCCAAAGCTGCCTCTCCTATAAGACCATATTTTCCAGTCCCTCATTGGGAAACTCTTAAAATTTTCGTTTCAAGAAAGATTTTGCTCAGTAGCTGTTTGGATGTTATGTTCATCAGCTCCATACATCTTTATATTGCCCATCTAACCTACACCTGTCTGCCCAGCTCATCTCCTCATTTCAAATGGTGTCTCCATCTTCCCAAGAACACTCACCTCAAAAACATGCTGTATCCCAAGTAAATGCTAAACAACTTCTCCTTGAATATTCAAATTAGAAACCTTATTCATGGAGGGCTATAGAAAGAACTATTCTGAGTAAAACTCTGCCCTAGTGTACCCTAAGAACTCTCCTAGGAAGTGCAGTTGGCCTTCTGTTTCTCCTTGTCTTTCTTTAAAAACAATCGCACAGGGGGCTGGCCTGGTGGCCCAGTAGTTAAATTCAGTACACTCTGCTTTGGCAGCCGGCGTTTGGTTCCTGGGCATGGACCTACAACCCTCCTTGGTGGCCATGCTGTGGCAGTGACCCACATACAAAATAGAGGAAGATTGGCACAGATGTTAGCTCAGGGCAAATCTTCTTCAAGCAAAAAGAGGAAGATTGGCAACAGATATTGGCTCAAGGCAAATATTCCTTGGCAAAAAAAAAAAAAAAAAAAAACCAATTGCACACACAAAACGCTTACTTTAAAATTTGCCTTAAAATGCAAGCAGAAAAATGAATCTGAATGAAGGATGTAGTAGGTAGAATTATGGCCCCCCAAAGATGTCCATGTCCTCATCCCTGGAAGATGTAAATACGTTACCTCATGTGGCAAAATGGATTTTGCGTGTGTGATTAAATTAAGGACCTTGAGATGGGTAGATGATTCTGGATGATCCGGGTGATCCCAGTATAATCACAAGTTTCCTCCTAAGTGAAAAGGAGGTAAGAGATTCCATGTCGGAATCGGAGATCTGAAGATACTCCTGGCTTTGAAGATGGAAGAAGGAGCCACAAGCTAAGGAATGCAGGTGGCCTCTAGAAATTGGAAAAGGGAAGCAGCTTCTCCCCTAAAGACTTCAGAAAAGAATGAGGCTTTGCTGACACCTTGATTTTTAGCTCAGTGAGAACTGTGTCAGACTTCTGACCTCTAGAAATGTAAAATAATTTGTGTTCTTTTAAGCCACTTAGTTTATGGCAATTTTTTTTTTTTGTGAGGAAGATCAACCCTGAGCTAACATTCACGCCAATCCTCCTCTTTTTGCTGAGGAAGACCGGCCCTGAGCTAACATCTATTGCTAATCTTCCTCCTTTTTTTCTCTTTTTCTCCCCAAGGCCCCAGTAGATAGTTGTATGTCATAGTTGCACATCCTTCTTGTTGCTGTATGTGGGACACCACCTCAGCATGGCCAGACAAGCGGTGCGTTGGTGCGCGCCCGGGACCCAAACCCGGGCCACCAGTAGCGGAGTGCGTGCACTTAACCACTAAGCCATGGGGCCAGCCCCTATGGTAATTTTTTTACAGTGACAATAGAAAACTAATACAAAGATTAAGGGGACTTTAGAATTCTTTAGTAAGGAGTATGATTGTAGTATGAATATTTTAATTCTTTAAATAGCACAGAATCTGTCTGCCACATAACATTATGTATGTCCCTGTATATATGTATATTATATATAATGGCAAACATACATATGAGAGTAGATATATAAATAGATATGCCAGAAATTATAATTTTCTGAAAATATTTTAAAGTTGAAAAAAACTACCTTAACATGTGTTGACATAATAATTACCTATCTTGGTTTCAGAATCCTTTCCGACCAGCAAAATCAAACATACAGCATATTTATTGACACTGTAACTTAGAGCTCTGTCACCTGTGTCTGAAGGTCTGCACCAGGCATCATGTTCAGTTTTGCAGTAAGCCAGCTGTTAAAATGTTACAATT